CGTAGTTTCTGAATTTCCTACCATTGTATCCTTTCTCCAGGGATTGATCAAGAAACTTTTCTAGGAAAAATTAATTGATACGACATGTGAGAAATTCAACATAACAGAAAATTTAAGAAACAAATGCGAGAGGCTTCTTCGAGTGTTTTGAATCAACTCTCAATGAAAGCACCAATTTGTTGACGTAAATTTCCGCAGTTTTCAGTCTTGACGAAAATGCACCTGCAAAACAATCAACACCTTTAATCAAAGACCTAAGCCTCACGCGCCCACGAGGTGGGGGAGGGGGGTTAGGTCAACGGATCTCTGATGCGTAAGTTAGTTTATCTGAGAAAGTAAAGTGTTTAGGGCTTTTTATGGTTGCAAAAGCTCTCAAAATTTGGTAGAATATGGGGTATTTATAGGGCTAGGGCTGACCATATAATGTTTAATGGAGAGATATTCTCTAAATATTCCCCAGATATTAAAAAGGAAATAATATCTTGAGATAATGGTGTAATTATCCCTAATTGATTTAAATTAGGATTACTTACTTGATTAGAGTTAATCTTCAATAAGGAATGTATTAAAGATAGGATTTGGGTAATTAATTCTTATCTTTAATTCCTTGCTAAGGGCAAATGAGCTGTGGGAATTCGTATTCAGCTGCTGAGACCTCCAAGGGTGTGAGCTGCTCATGAGAGCATTTGAGAAGTCTGCCCATTTATTGAGGGCAATCTTGTCTTTCTTGAATAAAAGTCCACATGTCACCTCTAGAATATTTGGAATTATTTTAGGCTCCACAACCTCCCTTTTAGTTGTAATTATTCTTGCCAAAGTTCATCTTCTTGTTTGAGTTGGAAACAAGTGGAGATAATTTTTATGACATTTTAAGTTTTTTCTCTTATCCTCTAAATCATGATTTTGGCTCACAGGTTCAATTTTGTGGTGGGAGATGATTGGCGCGGGTTGATATTCCATATGGGTGAAAGAATTGTGCTCAACTGTGACTTCAAGGTCATTAAGGTTAGAGAAGGTCCATTGGCGAGTCTTTGCACTAAGAAGTAGCGCTTCTAATGCAGCGTAGGAAATGGGAGTCTCTCTGCTTGAATAGAGGCGACGGTATTTTCATACAGAGGGCCAACATTGTTTATAATTGTGGTAATATGGTCAGCATCAGATATGGCCGAACTAGAAAGGTCAAGTTAGTCAGCCAAAGCGTTGATTTTATCTAGAAAATCAGCAATGCAGTGATCACCACAACAAAGATTGAGAAGCACACCTCAAGTGGAATAACTCTATTATGGCAGGAATGACCATATTGCTCTTGAAGAGCCTTCCATACCTCATCAGCACTGATACATTTCACTATTAAATGTTGAAAAATAAAAAGGAAAGTATTTTAGGATATGATTTAATTAGTGATTTTATATGATTTAATTAGGGCTTTGATATGATTTGATTTGGTCTAAGTTTCCTTGTCTTGTAAAAAAGGATTGTTTTGATTTATTTCCTAGTATTGTTCTTTTGTAATCTTATAAAGGATAAGAGAAAAAACTTAAAATATTGAAGTTGTTATTCGAGAATCGTGAGATTATAGAGCATTCTTAAATTTTTCCTAAACTCTTTATTTTCAACTTGGTATCAAAGCAGAGTTCAATTCTTGGTTGAATTTTGCTGTGAGCGCTTCCTTGTGGGTGCACGAAGCTAATTGTCTTCGTGCACCCACATGCCATGAACTTGAGGGTGAAGATTATCTACGATTGTTAGAAGAAAACAAAATTCCGCTGCCATGAAGAAGAAAAAATGGAAGAAAAAGGTATGGTTTTGTTGCCTTGGAGAAGAGACTAGGAAAATAAAAAATAAAAATTTAATCATGGTAGGATCTGTTTCCTATCATGTGTGTTTTTTTGTATTTTATTTTAGTTTTTCTAGTAAGTTTAGTTTGTTTTTGAGTTTGAAGAAGAGAAAAAAAGAGAATGAAAAAAAAGATGAGAAAAAAGATTTAAAAATAAAAAAAATAAAAAAATAAAATAAAAGATTTGGTGGTTGGGGCTTTCGGAAATAGGCATTAGTTTTAGTTGGGCTTTTGAAAAGATTAGCGTCTGTTCCAACTAGACTTTCGAAAAGAGACGTTAGTTCCAACATATCAAGAGATTTATTTATCCAGCTTTCGAAAAAAAACGTTAGTTCTAATTGGGCTTTCGAAAAGATTAGTGTTAGTTTCAGTTGGGCCTTCGAAAGAGGTGTTAGTTCCAGGATTATGATTTGTTAGTCAGGCTTTCAAAAAGAGGCATTTGTTCTAGTTGGGCTTTCAAAAAGATTGGCGCTAGTTCCAATTGGACATTTGAAAAGAGGCGTTAGTTCTGTCGGATTGTAATTTGTTGAGCTTTCAAAAAGATTGACGTTAGTTTCAGCGTATCAATGAAGATTTCCTTCTTAGCGTACTCATGATTTCACATCATGAGTTTGAGGGGGGTGTTGGAAAATAAAAAGAAAAGTATTTTACAATTTGATTTAATTAGTGATTTTATGTGATTTAATTAGGGTTTTGATATGATTTGATTTGGGCTAGGTTTCCTTGTCGTGTAGAAAAATGAATGTTTTGATTTATTTCCTAGTATTGCTCTTTTGTAATCTTATAAATACCTCCTTATGGAGAAGAATAAAATATTGAAGTTGTTATTCGATAATCGTGAGATTGTAGAGAATTCTTAAATTTGTCATAAACCCTTTATTTTCAACTTGGTATCAGACCAGAGTTCGATTCTTAGTTGAACTTTTCTGTGAGCGCTTCCTTGTGGGTGCACAAACTAATTTTCTTCGTGCATCCACTGACCATGAACCTAAGGGTGAAGATTGTCTACTATTGTTAGAAGAAGATAAATTTTCGCTGCTAGGAGGAAGAAAAGAAAAACAAAAAGAACAACAAGAACGAAAAAAGAATTGCAGGAAAAAAGAGATTTGGTGGTTGGGGACAATATCGGTGTTGTTAGAAGTGGGCTCTCGGTTTGTCTCTCTGATAATTCTACATGGTTTCAGAGCTAGGGAACGGGCTGGTAATGTACTGCCACGTGATGGGTGGGTCCGCTTGGCCCTGCGCAATGATGGTGGGTCCCTTGGCTGTGCTTGTATGGTGAATCCACTTGGCTCCACATGGTTGTTGATGTGTGGATCTCTCACGTGTGACTCACTAATTGGGTCCCACGTGAGGGGACGTGTTGTAATTTCCCACAGCGACCTATCTATGAGAAAATAAGAGTTTAAGTATCCTAACTCCATTCTAACTGACACTGATGCCTTTTGTGATAAAATCTTACACCTGACGGATTGTGCAAGTAGTAATTACCAAGTTGGAAACAGTATCGGTATTGTTGGAAGTGGGCTCTCAGCCTGTCTCTCTAATAATTCTACATTAAATGCATCACAGGTGGTGACAATAAACTGATCAGCCACGAGAGAACCCTCTGGTCTGGTTGAATCCAGGGTTCGAAAAAAGGATTAATCTCATTTGTGAGTTGGCCTTCTGTGTCTAAAGGAAAGGCCGAGTACATTAAGAGGTTCCATTATCGATGAATGGTAGAAGGCTACGACAGCATTGCAACGATATAAATTGTTCCTCCATAGGGGATAGTTATGTCTGTCGAGTTTGAGAGCTAGGAAATGTGACACATTGGAGAGGGAAGATGCAGTGGGATAAACCATGGTGAGTGAAGAAATTTTCGTTGGACTAGGAGAGGGTGATACCATGAAAGAATTGTGCTCTATGGTTGAGCAGTCATTGTATTTCACTATGTATAGAACGGGTGAAGAACAAACTCTTCAAAACTAAAAAAATATGAATAGCATTTTGAGAAAGCTATATTGACAGTTTCAACATCCCAAAGGATTGTACTATTGATAAAGTTATGGCAAGTGCTGAGGTGAGGATATCGCTTAAGTCATTTGCGGCTGCGGTTGCACAGATGTGGTGGGAGATGATATTTAGATTTGGTTATCATGGGCAGACTGTAATGCATTATGTTTTGAGGAATTGTCTCGTCATGTTTCCTTTATTGTTCATGATATTGAGTTGCAGCTGATTGAGATTGATTCTTTGAGCACAGCTACCATGTGAAAACTCTCTGTCTGATCTTTGTCTCCTTTGTGCCATGGGAGTTAAAGGTCGTCCAGCTAAGGCTCCTCATATTTATGAGGTTCTATGGTTGCCTCCTCCTGTATCTTGGATTAATTTTACCATAGATGGCACGACTCGTGTGCCCTTGGTTTGGTGGGAATTGGGGGTGTTTTTCCAGACCAATTTGGCAATTGTTTACACTGTTTGCATCTTCAAAAGAATTACTTATTCTTTAGAACCCGAGTTTCATGCAGTTATTTATGCCATGGATTTAGCTTGGGCCAAAGGTTGAAATTTTTTGTGAATTAAATGTGATTCTTTTTTAGTGGTCCTTTATCTTTCTCTGCTTCTCGCAAGATTTCGTGGCATCTGTGTGTTCCTTGGATTAATTGCCTTGCATTTCTCTCCCAAATGCACATTTATGTCACTCATATTTTTGGAGACGGTTATGCAGTTGTTCACAGTTTGGCTATTTTTTATGTGAATCATTCTAGGAATTTATATTTGGATTCTTGCCCCCCCTTGTCCAACTTTTGCTTACATTTGTAACTTTTCTTCACGACCTAATTTTAGGTTTTGCTTGTATGGTCCTTGATGTTTTGTTTTCTTTGTGTCGAGTGAAAGAGGTTTGGTTTAATTTTTCTTTTCTTTCACTGATTTTAGCTTGTGCTTGTCAGTTTTTCTCTGCAGGTACTTTATTGTTATGAACTCTTAGTTTGTACTGGCTCAATGAGCTCTATTTTTCTCTGCTTTGTAATTTATTAAAGGGAAGTGGTATGTCATGCTTGAAGAAAAGAACTCCTCTGCCTTTCAAAAGATAACAATTCAGGAGAAAAAAAGTTATACAGTAAAAGAAAATAAAAATTCTCCTTGTAAGGTATCAAAAGAAAAAACAAAAGAGATATGATGCATGAAAAATCCCAGGTAAGTGCTTTTAAGTTTCTGGTAAACAGATAACTAAGCCAGATGAAAATATGGACAAGAAAAAGTGGGTGGTATCACTAATGGATAACAAATCAAAGTGCCACACAGAGGAAACGAATAAAAGAATAAATACAACAAAGCAAGAGCTAGTCGCAATACAAATGCTATGCGAATTATGTAGCCTGCAGGATCCCTATCTACTTGCACTGTAAACTTTTGAGGGTCTTTGATGACAGATCAAATGCAATGGTACAGTCCATGGTGGAGGCCTTCTTCTTCTTCATTATAAGCATCAGTTCCACCTTTCCATTCAACTTAGCCGCGCTGTTGAGAGTCAATACGCCACTGGTCAGTTCACTCCCAAGATTGGAACTGCCTAATGCACTTGAACTCAAGCTCACTTCGACAGTGATCTTTTTGGTGGAAAGCATTCCAGCCTTGCTCTTTGGAATAGAAACTTGCCCGACAGTGGCTCCTTGGTACAAAAACGTAACATTGCTAGCATCAAACTTGTAAGGACCCCAATTTGTGTTCTTGACACTAATTTGGGTTGTGAATTTTGTGTTGAATGAAGGTGTTGCTGGGATGGAGTTGAGTTCTTGTACGTTGATGTTCCCTAGCCGGACCTTCGGTGTCTTAACTTTCATCACAGTAAGGCTAATCACGGTTATGACAATGATCTGAAACACAATGAAAATAGCAACATACATGGCCAATTTGATCCTCTTCTTGCGTTTGAGCTCGTCAGCTGATAGCAAAGACTCAGCATCACTTCTTTGGTAACCATGATTTGCTGGTGCTGCAGGATAATCCAGTTGGGTCTTGTCGGCCATCTTAATTTCTTTTGCTGCAGTTAGAGCTTCGAAAGAAAAAGTTCTCTGTTTTTCTTTGTAAAATATGAACTGATGAGCAGGTGTGTTTGTTGTTTGATTGTGTGAATGTTGGTTGGGTGTGGGGTGGTATATATAGTGTTTGGAAAATTTGGTTAATGAGTTAACTAGAGGAATGAAAACGCGCATATAGTTAGGCTGTAGTTCATTGACTCTACTAGAAGGTTGAACGTAAAGATGTGAAAATGCTTATAGAAAACGAAATATAGAATAATAGAAAGCTTCGAGGGCTTTAAAAACTTCGCCTACCACACGAAGTCATAAAAATATGAAAACGCGCATAGCACATACATAAAGACTTTGTAAGCTATGTCACATACATAAAGACTTTGTCTATTGTCCTACAACATCAACATCAACATCATATATATATATATTATAATAATGGGAATTATTGGACCGTCTAGAAGATTTTAAGTAAAAAACTCTAATTGTATACGCATTTAGCAGCATAATTGTATTTTGAGAAAATCTATTGCTTGTTTGATAACTATTTTGTTATCAATTTTTATTTTTTTAGTGACAGTGGAGAAATAAATTGGAGAATAAGAGATATCTAAGAGGTGCAGGAGAGATGGTGGATATGTAAATAAAATGTATTAAGAGAAAGAAAAAAAAAAAAAAAAAAAAAAAACCTATTTTGTTGCAGTCCTAATTTAGTTAAGAATGTGATTTTGTAAATCTTTATGGGATTCTATAGTATTTTGCAGACAGTGTCCTAATTAAGATGTATGACTTGAAAGGCAAGGATAAAGGCACAAATGGTGAGATAATACACACCTCAAAATTCACCAATTATCTTCTCTCTCTTATCGTTGCACCCTTTCTCCTTTTATAATTCTTATGTTAAATAGGCCTACAACATGTTATTAGCAGGCTCCCTTTGCGGCTAAGTAACTGAAGGTTCGTGGAGGAAGTTCTTCTACAACTAGCACTCAAGGGCTTTCTTTCGTTTTTATCAAATAATGTTTTTCTAAACCACAAAATCGATATTTTATAAGCTCCTAATAGCATGAAAACATTTACTATTATACATTAACCGTCGATTTATTTATATTTTATATATTATACAATGCGTGTATATATAGCACGTTCATCCACACGCAAATAATATTTTCATATTTTGAATATGCAAATTGTGTTATATTATGCTACATTACCATTTGTATGAGTCAAAGAAAAACAAGAAAATAGTAGTGCATATTAGGGTTTTGAAAACACTAACCGAGAAAAAATACAAAAGGGGGGAAAAAAAAAATGCCTTGAGCCGAGCCAAGCAGCTTTGGCTCTTGCCTCAAAACGACATCGTTTGGTGTCTAGTCCAGCAGCCCACAGTTTTGGGATTGTTACGGCGTCCGATCCCAAGCCTGCTGTTTGGGGCTTCTTCCTGCCAGGCTTGCAGCTTGCTCTCTTGTTTTGGGTTTGTTCGTCTCTTGAACCACTGTTTGGTTTACTTTGGATTGACAGCTAAGTTGGAATAGAATGATTTGTTAAGGCTTAAAGCCAGTAAAGATTTGGAATTGGAATTGAGCAGCTGCCATTTGCCCAATTGCCTCCCACATTTTTCACCGGCAGAGTACATTTGTTGGGTCCAAAGGCAATTGTATCCAATGGCAGGGGCAATCCATGGCCCGCTAGAGATGCTCTAAATTGAATAACTCAGACTATTGATATTAAAAATTCATTATTATTATTTTTTTTTAAAGTGAATGATAAAAAAAAAAAATTTAAATTTCTGATATGATTTTTATAGATATTTTATTTTATTTTATAATAATTTTCATAATTTTTTAAAATTTAAATTGTGGCTGATATGTCACATCTCGGCCCCAGGCGGATCACTTTTCGGGTCCGCTCCACCACCGTAGCACAATATTGTCCGCTTTGGGCTTACCATTCCCTCACGGTTTTGTTTTTGGGAACTCACGAGCAACTTCCCAGTGGGTCACCCATCATGGGATTGCTCTAGCCCCCTTCTCGCTTAACTTCGAAGTTCCTACGGAACCCGAAGCCAGTGAGCTCCCAAAATGCCTTGAACTAGGTAGAGATAGGAATATACATTTAAGGATCACTCCCCTGAGCGATGTGGGATGTCACAATCCACCCCCCTTAGGGGCCCGACGTCCTCATCGGCACACATGCGACCAGGGTTAGGCTTTAATACTAATTTGTCACATCCCGGCCCGGGTGGGACCACTTCCCGGGCCCGCTCCACCACCGTAGCACGATATTGTCTGCTTTGGGCTTACCATTCCCTCACGGTTTTGTTTTTGGAAACTCACGAGCAACTTCCTAGTGGGTCACCCATCATGGGATTGCTATCGCGCGCTACTCGCTTAACTTCGGAGTTCCCATGGAACCCGAAGCCAGTGAGCTCCCAAAAGGCCTCGTGCTAGGTAGGGATGAGAATATACATATAAGGATCACTCCCCTGGGTGATGTGGGATGTCACAATCCAACCCCCTTAGGGTCTCGAAGTCCTCGTCGGCACACCACAGCAAGGGTTAGGCTTTGATACCATATTGTCACATCCCGGCCCGGGGTGGATCACTTCCCGGGCCTGCTCCTCCACCGTAGCACGATATTGTCCGCTTTGGGCTTAGCATTCCTTCACGGTTTTGTTTTTGGGAACTCACGAGCAACTTCCCAGTGGGTCACCCATCATGGAATTGCTCTAGCCCCCTTCTCGCTTAACTTGGGAGTTCCCACGGAACCCGAAGCCAGTGAGCTCCCAAAAAGCCTCGTGCTAGGTAGAGATGGGAATATACATTTAAGGATCGCTCCCCTGGGCGATGTGGGATGTCACAATCCACCCCCCTTAGGGGCCCAACGTCCTCGTCGGCACACACACGACCAGGGTTAGGCTCTAATACCAATTTGTCACATCCCGGCCCAGGCGGGACCACTTCCCAAGCCCGCTCCACCACCGTAGCACGATATTGTCCGCTTTGGACTTACCATTCCCTGACGGTTTTGTTTTTGGGAACTCACGAGCAACTTCCTAGTGGGTCACCCATCATGGGATTGCTTTCGTGCACTACTCGCTTAACTTCGGAGTTCCCATGGAACCCGAAGCCAGTGAGCTCCCAAAATGCCTCGTGCTAGGTAAGGATGGGAATATACATATAAGGATCACTCCCCTGGGCGATGTGGGATGTCATAGATATGTGTCACATGGCCTTAGGCGAGGCCCGTGGATTACTGCATGGTAGGACAATTGATTGGCCTAGTGTGGACTGGAGGGTTTTTTTTTTTTTTTTTTTTTTTTTTTTTTTTTTTTTTTTCTCCTTTTCTTTGTTTTTGTGGTGGGGAAGGGGATTTAAAGGCCTATCCCCTAGGGGATGTGAAAGGGCTAGAAACTTGATGCATCTACCAATGCTCTGTGTATCTAAATTTAAAGATCCAAAATCCTAATTCTTGGTAACTTGATGCATCTACCAGTGCTCTGTATATCTAATTGATCATGTCTCTCTATTTGCAGTCTTCTTGTTCTTGCTTATTGAATCTTGAAATTACAATTGCTGATTTGTACCAAACTGCAAAGTGCAATGTCGGGGAAGTATTATTGGGGAGTTATTGGCAGTATTTTACCCCATCACAACCTATAATCTCAAGTCTAAGGCCATCTCCAACCGAAGGAGAGCCAAAGGGCCATGTTTAGCCTTATAGCCCTGAGAGAATTATATTTTAATGAACAATGTTAGGTCATATTTTATACCATATTAAAATAAATTAAATTAAACTACCATATTAAAATAAGGTTTTCGGACATATTTTGAGTGCAACTTGCCACAAAGTCAACCTTGACATTCTGACGCTGGAGGGTTGGCTGGCTGGCTGGTTAGAAATGGCTAGCCAGCTGGCCTGATTTGGGGGTTTTGGCCTAGCGGGGCCTACAAGCCCATTGGCCTAACCCTCAATTGGAGACGGTTTTCATGTCATTCCGAGCTATTTTTAGGCCTATGGCCCTTTGGCCAAGTCGGTACTCGGTTGGAGATAGCCTAACAAGCTTAGTTGTAGCATGTATCTACTATAAGTCCAGATGTATGTTTCTTAAAGAAATGAAGTTTGAAGAAGTTGTTGACTATAAATCTCACGAAGGGTAATCTCATGTTAGTAAATTCCATGAAGCCACACTATACTTAATGCCGAAGCCACGTTATAGTTAGTTGATTATTTGATTTTGTAATTGTTTAAGGTCGAAACTAATATTGTTAAATGAAGTTGGTGATAAATCCCACAAAGAGCAATCCCGTGTTGTGAGTGGGTAAGTCTCATAAAGCCACACGATGGTATGCTGATTTTTTTTTTTTTTGTAAATGTTAAGGCCGAAACTATTGTTGAATGAAGTTGTTGCCGATAAATTCCCACAAAGGGTAATCCTGCACTATGGTTGATATACAGGGACGAGAGTGTGTTACAACTACTATATTGAGGCTGTTTTGGTATTTCATTTGGATGCACAATTGATTAGGGTTCAAAAGTCAGTACGGTTAAATAAAGTTGACAAGTTTGAGAACAATAATGGAAGATATGAAATGGGATATAGTATTGTTATTGTGATTCATTCTGAGGCTGGAATTACCCTTGATCCAGATCTTAGAGATTGAGAAACGGTGTCTAAAAACTAATGCATATTTGCATTATGGAGTACATATAACAGTTGGCATTTGAATGTGTTTCAGGCCACAAACAAAACCGAATCCCCCTTCAACTATGCAACAACGAAGGGATGGCAAGGACTTTTAACCACACATTGCAGCACTCTTCATAGACCTCTGTCCATGAGTGTTCATAGTTTTTAACCACAGTTTCAATCTCCAGCTTGGTTACCAAGTTGAGATTGAGGAGAGTATTAACAAATGTGTGGTGGAGATTAGCTTATAATTGAACAATGGAGATTGGTCTAGCTGGTGAAAACTACTACAAGAGTTTGTTAGAAGGTTGGAGGGTTAGTTATTTTTTATAGGCTAGTATTTGTAATTCTCGCATTAATTTCTATTCAACTCAGAAGATATCAATACAAGCCTTCATTTCCTTCTATCCTTCATCT